TAGGAGGAACAGGAATGGCCACATTTAGCTTGAAGAGGAAGAATATTGTGTTATCCAGGAAGTCAGTGAAAGGATGTTGGCCAAGAGGGTGGCATTGGCAGGTATCAAGAAATGAGCTGAAATTATAAACAGGAAGACATTTCATAAAGGCAGAAGCTAGCAGGTCTGGGAAGCATAAGATGAGAGGCACTTTGGCCAAATGTGTGAGCCAGGTTCATTGAGCATTGCAAGGGTGTCAGAGTTTCTTTGAATTGGGGTTGCCATTTGACACAAGGGTAAGTTCAAGGTGGGATTAGCATATTTAGAGGACCAGGCAGCACTTCAGCTGCTAGAAGGTGTTCTCATAAATTGATTAGTCTGATTTTCCTTTATTTATGCTTTTTACATAAAGATAATTATAGATTCATGTGCAATTATTCAAAAGGATGTAGAGAGAGCTTATATATCCTTTGTCCAGATTCTTCTAGTGGTGATATCGTATACAAACCATCACACAATATTTCAACACAGTTACTGGCATGAAGTCAGCTAAGTTGCACAATCTGTCATTATCACAAGATCCATCAGACTATTATTTAATAGTCATTCCTTGTCATCTTTATCCCTTCATTATGCATAATATCAATAATTTGTTCTTTATTTCTATAATTTTCATTTCAAGAATTTGAGATAATGGAATAATACCATATGCAACCTTTGGCATTTTTCTCTCCACATAATTTTCCAGAGATTCATCTACATTATGATAATCAATAGTCTTCCTTCTCATTGCTAACTAGTAATCCAAGGTATGAATGTGTCACAGATTTTTTAATCCTCCAACCATTGAAGGGCATCGTGGCTCTTTCAGTCTTTGGCTATTATGAATTACCTGTCAAAGTAATTCATTGTCTATTAGTAAACCTTTTAAACTTCATGCACAGATATTTGTGTGAAGATAGATCATTGTATCTCTAAAATAAGCACCCAAGAGTGTAACTGTTCAATTGTATTTCATGTTGAGATTATTGAAAAATTATCAAGCTGCTTTCCAGAATGGCTTACTATTTTTATATACCTACCAATAATGTATGAATGATCAATTTTCTATTCATACTCATGAGATTTTTGTGTCATCACTGTTCTGTGTATGTGCGTGTGTGTGTGTGTGTGTGTGTGTGAGTGTGTGATATTGATAGTTATATAGCAGTATCTCAGTGTGGATTTTTATTCACCTTGACCTACTGGCCAATTATATCAATCATATTTTTCTGTGTTTTAGTCAAATGTCTCTTCAAGACTTCTTTTCATGATATGGTTGGATTTTTCTTTGAACTATTGAGTTCAGAAGCTCCTTATGATTTTAGGTACTAGTCATTTGTCAGATATATGGCTTGCAAATATTTTCTCTCACTGGTCAGCTTCTTGCTTCATTCTCTTAGATCTTTCACTGAACAGTTTTTTTTTTTCAACTTGTAAATTAAATGTATGTAGGTTGAGGTTTAGTTATTTAATTATTTGCCTATAAATGTCTAAATGCTCCCAACATCTTTTGCTGAAAGATTCTGTTTAATCCAGTGAGTTACTTTTGTACCTTTGTCAAGATTCAGTTGGGCGCATTTATGTGGGTTTGTTTCTGGGTTCTCTGTTCTATCAATTTGTGTTTCCATTCTACTGCCAATACCTTACAGCTTTGATTACTGTGGCTTAATAAGAAGCCTCAAAATCAAGTAGACTAATTTTTTTTCTTCTTGTTTTACAGAATTCTGTTCTAATTTCTTTTCTTTTTCATTTTTTTTTTTTTTTTTTGACAGGCAGAGTGGACAGTGAGAGAGAGAGACAGAGAGAAAGGTCTTCCTTTTTTTCCGTTGGTTCACCCTCCAGTGGCTGCTGTGGCCGGTGTGCTGTGGCCAGCACACCTCGCTGATCTGATGGCAGGAGCTAGGTACTTATCCTGGTCTCCTATGGGGTGCAGGCCCAAGGACTTGGGACATCCTCCACTGCACTCCCTGGCCACAGCAGAAAGCTGGCCTGGAAGAGGGGCAACAGGGACAGAATCCGGCACCTCAACCGGGACTAGAACCCGGTGTGCCGGTGCCGCAAGACGGAGGATTAGCCTAGTGAGCCGCGATGCTGGCCTCTAATTTCTTGACTTTTCATTTGTTTTACATAGCTTTGCTTTTGTGTCTTCAAAATTATTAATGGGATTTTGATAGAAATTCCATTAAGCCTACATATCAGTTTAGGGATTATTGACATCTTTTCTAGGTTGAGTTTTTCCAATCTACACACATCATATGTTTCTCTGGTTATTTAGATCTTTGAAAAATTTCTTTCATCAGTATTGCATGATTTTCAGCATAATATATATTTTGCTAGATTCACCCTTAAACATTTTACATTTTATTTGTTTAGCAATTTTAAATGGTGCCACATATATGATATGTATGTCGTATATATGATATATTTAACATATATAATTATAGTTTTAATTTTCACATCTTCATTGTTATTATATTGCAATACAGCTGAGTTTTGTATCTGATCATCCATCCTATGAAGATGCTGACCTTGTTTCTTATTTTTAGGAATTTTTGTAGATACCTCTGATTTTCTGCATAAATAATGAAGCCATGCAAATAGGGACAATTTTTCCTCATCCATTATAATATGGATGAATTTTATTTTCCTATCTTGACTTGTTGTAATGACTAGAACTTATAGCATTACATTGAAAAGGAGAGCATATTCTTGCCTTGTATCTGACTTTAGAGAGGAAAGCATTAAACATGTGGCCATTATTTATAATGTTAGCTATCAGGGTTCTATAGATGATTTTTATAAGATTAAGGGAGTTTCACTCTATTCCCATAGTTTTTTTTTTTTTAAGATTTATTTTATTTATCTGAAAGACAGAGTTACAGAGAAAGGTAGAGACACAGAGAGAGATCTTCCATCTGCTGGTTCACTCCCCAGATGGCTGCAATGGCTGGAACTGGGCCAATCCAAAGCCAGGAGCCAGGGGCTTCTTCCGGGTCTCCCACGTGGGTGAAGGGGCCCAAGAATTTACTGTTTTCACAGGCCACAGCAGAGAGCTAGATAGCAAGAGGAGTAGCCTGGACTAGAATCGGCATCTGTATGGGATGCCTGTGCTTCAGGCCAGGGCTTTAAACTGCTATGCCACAGCACCGTCCCCTATTCCCATAGTTTTGATAGTTTTTTAAAATGATGAATGACTGTTGAATATTGACAGATATGTTTTCAGTGTTGATTGACTATCATGTTATTTTTCTTCTCTAGCCTATCAGTATGATAGAGTACATTGATTGATTTTCACATAATGTGACAGCCTTGTGTCCTTGAAATGACTCTCATTTGGTAATCATGCATAATTATGCTTATATTGGTAATTCCATTTGCTAATATGTTCTTAAAGATTTCATGTCAATATTTATGAAGCATATTGGTTTGCAGTCTTCTTGTCTTTTTGCTTTATCTTTGTTGTGTGGTTATCATAACAGGGTAAAACTAGTTTCATAAAATGAGTTGGGAAATATTGAATGTCTCCATTTCTCAGAAAACATCGTACAGAATTCGTGTTGATTTTTCTTTAAACATTTAATACAATTTTCCTCTGAAGACATCTAGACTTAGAGTTAATATTTTGGGGAGTTTTTAAATTATTAATTCTACTTTTAGCATACTTACACAGCTACTTAAATTATATATTTTAAATTGGATGTATTACAATAGATTTTGGTTTTCACAGCATTATCCATTTTGCCTAAGCTGTCAAATTTGTATGTATAGAAGTATGTAGAATTTTCTTCTTACCTTTTTGCTTTTTGCAAGACAGTACTGATAACCCTCATTTCATTTATAATATCAGTACTTTATGTTTTCTCTCTTTATTTTCTTTATTAGTCTCACCAGAAGCTTGTCAATTTTAGTCATCTTCTCTAATAACTAGCTTTTTGTTTCATTTATCTTGTCTAATGATTTTTGTCTTTTAATTTCATTGATTTCTGCTTTTATATTTATTACTTTATTCCTTTTGCTTGCTTTGGGTTTATTGGTTCTTATTTTCCTAAATTCTTAAGTTGTCTTCTCAGATTATTGATTTAAGTGTTTTCTTTTCAATGTAAAAATTTAATGTAATAAATTTTCCTCTCGGTACTGCTTTAGTTGTACTGCATCATTTTTGATATATTGTAGTTTTTCTTCTGTTCAGTTCAATATGCTTCTTTTCATTTCTCTTGAGGCCAGCTTCTCTTTGGCAAATAGGTTGTTTAGAAGAATGTGGTTTAGTTTCTAGATGCTTGCAGAATTTTCTGTTATCTTTCTATTATCAATTTCTAGTTTGATCCATTGGTTCAGAGAATATATTCTCTATGATTTCAACTGTCATTGAGGTTTGTTTTATGTCCCAGGTATTTGATCTGCATTGGTATATGTTCTGTGGGCACTTGAAAAGAACTTGTATTCTGATACGGTTATAATATTTTACAAATGTTAGCTCCTGTAGTTTAATTATTTTTCTTAAAATTTTACCAGTTGAGGGGCAGAAAAAGAGAGGCAGAGAAGGAGAGAGATCTATACAGAGAAAGCTGATTCACTCCCCAAATTCTTCCAATGGCTGAGGCTGGATACCAGAAATGGAATCCTGTTTTGCTAAATGAATGGTAGAAACCCAGTTGCTTGAGCCATCACCGCTGCCTCCCACGGCCTACACTAACAGGAAACTGGAGCGAGGAGCCAGAGCTGGCAATCAACTCTGATGATGAATGTGGATAGTTTAAACATAAGGCTCAAAATTCCAGTTATAGATTTTTGGTCAAGTTGCTTCCATTAAAAAGTACTGATTTAAAAAAAAAAAAAAAAACTAATAACTTAAGACTGCCATGCACAAAAAAAAAAAAAAAAAAAAAAAATTCCACAAACATTCTTTCCTTCTGCAGGTTTTACCATGCATTGTTATCATTAACCAGTCTTTTACTATTAAGATTAAAAGGCCAATTGAGACAAACAGTTCAGAGACCATTCTTCCACCACTGATCTGATTAACATTGGGGTGGCAGGTATTAGGGGTAACATTCATTTAGCCTGCTGAGCTTTCTGGGCAGAATTGTTGACCTTGCCATCTCCAGCAGCCTTCTTGTCCATTGCTTTGATCATACCCACAGCAATTGTCCGTCTCATATCATGGACAGCAAAATGACCCAGAGGAGGATGGTCTGAGAAGCTCTCAACACACATGGACTTGCCAAGAACCATATCAACAATGGCAGCATCATCAGATTTCAAGAATTTAGGGCCATCTTCCAACTTCTTTCCAGAATGATGGTCAATCTTTTCCTTCAGCTCAGCATACTTGCAGGCAATGTGAGTTGTGTGACAATGCAGTACAGGGGCATACCCAGCACTGATCTGATCTGGATGGTTCAGGATGATCACCTGAGCAGTGAAGCCAGCTGCTTCCATTGGTGGGTCTTTTTTCCTGAATTCCCCCAAACCTTTGATGATTTTTCTTTCCTGGTTGTTCTGTCAATACTTGAGAGAAGAAGGTTGAAGTCTCCAAGCATAATTGTGGATGTGTTTATCTTCTACTTGTTTTATGGGGTTCTAATTGCTCATTGGACCATTATTTTTCCAACTAAGTAAAATGTTATTAGATTATTTTGCTAATATCTGTTATCAACCTAATGTTGGCTTCTATTGTCTTTTGTCAATTCAGTTTAACATCCTGCTGGTTCTTGGTGCAAGGAGTAATTTTCTACTGAAAATCATATTTTTGCATTATTTTATGAGACTCTGGAAGGAGAAGTCCATCCTTGTTATCACAGGTGGAGATAGAAATCCAAGTTCCTCACAAGCTTCAATTTACACATGAGTGGAGAGAGTATTATTTGTCACCTCTGGGTGAGAGCAGAAATTCTGACTCCCAATGTGTTCTTCTCTGATATCATGCTGCAGGTGAACTCAGTAGTGGGGGACAAGTTCAGGGTCCCTGTGTTTTTTTCATAATATTCACTGTTATCATGTCATAAAAATGGGACTTCCCTTATACCACTCCACAAGGATGTTGGGTCACTCATTACAATATCACAAGAGGAGAAAGTTAGGCTCCCCAGTTGGCCATTAAAATTGTGGGTGAAGAGGCCTCAATTTTTATTTATTTATTTTTTGTGGTTATTGGATGGAGTAGAGTAATGATTGTCTTAAAGTTCTCTGTGTAGAGACTATGTCTCTATTGGTCCTTTGGCTAGAGAGAACAGGATCTTCTCAGGGCCTTCTTTGTTTGAGATCTCAGTTTCTGAGTTGCTAACTTCTTTAGCTACCTTTCTGAAAAAACAAACAAACAAACAAAAAAACAGGGAAGTCCTCACCATGTCTTTCCTGGTGTCCCAAGGTCCCTAGCTGGTCTATCTCCGGTTCTCAATTTTTAATTTTGAATATTTGTTTAATGTACAAAATCTATAGATTTTAGTTGTTCTTGGTGGAATAAATAGGGGATATATGTCTATTCCGCATTTCTGAGAGTAGGAGTCTTAATGACTTTTTATCACCTGGCGCTTAATTAAGGGTAAGGAGTGTGAAAATGCAGCAAATACCTGTGTAAACTCTGGAGACCATGGAGATGAGTACTCTGATGCATTTATGGGCCCAGGAGATGGCTACCCCATTCTGACAACATTTTATCCATTGGGATATATTTCACATTAAAGTAGATAAGCATTAACTTACTTCTTTGGGTGTATTTTGAGAGGATGGAATTGCTTTTCTCCTACTCTCTTTTAACTTATTTAGTTTCCCCTCATTTAGACCACCAGACATAAGGTATTCAATAACCCAGTAATACTAGAGAACCCATACATCTAGATGATATGAGATTACATGTGGATCCAGTTTTGTTCACCCCTACATCCTCAGGAAAAGGTAAAAATCAAGCAAACAAGTAAGACCAAAACACAAAACAATTCTGTGTTGGGAGAAGTAAAAGGAATGCAAAGAGAAGCTTAAACAATGCTAGCAATTGTTTACTAACCTGCTTAATGGGGAAGGGGAATTTCAATTTGTTATGTTTTCCAATTTCTATGGTATAAATATTCTAACTGTAGTTGACCACAAGCTACTGGTATGTATGCACTTGATGTGGAGTTGGAAACAGTTACTAACAACTGGCTTTCAGAGTTTGTGTGTGAGCTACCGTATACCATTGCAAGAGTTGTGATTGACAAAATTTTTTGAAAAGGGGTCCTGACTGCCCCCCTCTCTATCCATTATTTAGCTTCTAGAAGAAATTGTTAGTAGAAGTCTCACTATTTAAATATACTTATTTTAGGGCAAAACAAGCCAAGCCTTTTTTTATTCCTTAACCATTAAACTTGTTCTGGAACTTACAGAGCTCTGTAATATGATGTCATCAGTACTTTGTGGGGAGGGATTCTTGTAAAGGATTATGTGTCTGTATCATGTTGTAAAACAAAAGCAAAACCAAAGTTGAGCTTCAACAGCTTAAGTTTAACCAGTGGCCCAAGAATGGATAAGAAGGAGCCTAGCTCACAACTCAACTTTTCAATCTGTTAAACACTGAGGAATCATACATGAAGGAAACAGTAATGAGGAGAAAGAATGTGTTAATAAGTGGGAGGGATATTCATAGTTTTTCTGGGAAAAGAGTGGTAGGATTCTTAGAAATGGGGAGTCTTTTTTTTCTGGTTGTTGACATGGTAATTATCAATGGACATGGTGCTGCTTTGTGTTATTTAGCATGGAAATTACATTGCCTTGAGGTTTGAAACCTTCTAGAAGTTACTCTGGCAGCCATATTATGTCTAGCTGGTTCTGACTGGTTAGCCTGTGGGGGAACTTCTGGGTGCTAGGTGTTCTGGTCCTAAAGGGAATCAATGTTAAAGTAGGGTAGAAACTTGACTAGGTCACACAGGCCTTGACCTAGGTCACATAATCATAAAGTCATGGGAGGGGCCAGTGCTTTGACATATCTGGCAACACAGACACCTGTAATACCTGCATCCCATATGGGCACCAGTTCATGTCCTGACTGCTCCACTTCCAATCCAACTGGAGTTGGGATAGCATAAGAAAAGCAAAGAAAGGTGACCCAAGTGTTTGGGCTCCTGCTTTCCAAGTAGGAGACTCAGATGAAGCTCCTAACTCTTGCCTTTTGCCTGGATCAGTCTTGGACATTGTGACCATCTAAGGAGTGAACCAACAGATGGAAGATCCCCCTATCTTTCCCTCTCTCTCTCTCTCTCTTTCCCTCTATCTCAATGTAACTCTGATTTTCAAATGAATAAATAAAATCTTTAAAAAAAATCCACGCAAGAGGTAAAAATGGCCATGTGAGTCAGTATCAGAAAGGCCTGAAGAACATTCTTCAAGTCTCCCACTGAGTCAGAGGGAAGCTATTCTTTCCTTCTGCTCTTGGAGTGTGGAGGTGTATGCGAAAGCCAGGACTGAGTCCATAACATGCCAAACAATTCCTCTGTATTTCACAAGGCTTATGTTGTGCTAAGGCCTACAAAGAATCCTTACCACTTTCCCCATAGTTGCTGGTTCCATGTTTATTTAGTGATTTTTGCTTCTCAAACTGAAGAGTATTTTTAGGTAGTACATGACCATAAAAGTCACAAATCTTAGATTCTGTAAACTTTGGTGTGGAAATATATGTGGGAAGAGGGAGAAGGAGTTAATATAGAAATAATTGGAGGGGCTGGTATTGTGGCAAAACAGGTAAAAGCCACTGCCTGTGATGTCGACATCTCATATGGGAACTGTTCCACTTCTGATCCAGCTCCCTGCTAATAGCCTGTGAAAAGTAGCAAAAGATGGCCCAAGTCTGCAGGCCCTTGTTATTTGCATAGGAGACCTGGAAGAAGGTTCTGGCTCCTTGCTTTTTGCCTGGCCCAGCCCTGGCCATAGCAGCTAATCCGGAGAGTGAGCCAGATTTCTCCTCTCCATCTCTCCCTCTCTCTGACTTTCAAATAAATAAATAAATCTTAAAAAAGGAAATAATTGGAAAGCATTCATGATCAATATGTTATCTGACTATTGTTGGCTGAATATTATTTTTGACATGAATTTAATAAACATAGTACCAAAAAAGAAAAGAGCCAGAATTGACCAAAACAATTTTACTGCCATAAGCAGAAACATGAGAGCAAAACTCAGTTTTGTATGTTCATGGATGTCTTTAAGGAATGTCTACACAGAGGTCGGGCAGAGGCACATAGAAGATTTAAATTTCACTGAAAACCAGCTCAAGGCTGATCATCACCAAGAAGGGAATTCTAACTGTGCTTTACTTGCTGTGGGACTTTGGGCAAGTCAGTAAAATACAGATAATAATGATATCCACTTCTTGTAATGTGTGATGATTAAATAAGTATACAGTTTCTCAAACACAGTAAAACTTAAAAGTACATGTTTAATATTTTTATAAAGTATGTCTTAAAACTTCGTATCACTATTGAATCATTTGCCTTTAGTTTTCTATCTTTAAAAAGGAAGACCAGCAAGACTTTTCAAGGGCAAACATAGCCTTTTTACTCTGGACCCCAGAGATTCAGACAGGGAGCCCTATTAGAATGAAGACTTCTGAAGAGGGAGGAAGACAGAAGCTGAGATTTGAAAACAAATGACATCCAGAAAAGTCAAACACCCAACAGTTTGTAACCAAAGCCAATATAAGGTGATTTCCTTCATTTTTCAAGGTCGTTAAGTAATTCCATCGGCTTGTCTGGGATTAAAGACTATTGTGCTCTTAATGATATAAATGATAAGTTATAAAGTGAATACACTAGATATAAGGCACTTTTGTCAGTACAAGCATCAGTGTACTTGTGTTCTTAGGGTTAGAGAAACAAGGTAGAGCAGGGAATGCATGGTGGGAAAAGTTGGGCTGGGTAAGATAGTTATGAAGGAGATAGACTCTCATCTCCAAACTCTGTGTGCCATTTGTATTTGGTGGGAATTTAAAACCAAATTTCTTGTTTCTAAATGGAGAGAAAATAGATTATTTAATTATTTTAGTGTTTTTATCAGAGGATGGGGTCAGGGAAATATTTTAGGGTGGTGCTTTCCATGTTTTTGTCATTCTCTATAGGCTACAACTATCTTCTAAGTTTATCATTTCTTTAAGCTATGAGAGAATTATTCAAAACAAGAGAAACATATCATTACTTTAGAGCCTCCAATGATGTGTACAAAATACAAATTCAACAATTAAATTACATTAAATTAACTTAACCCTGGCAGCTATAATTTTTCTTAAAAAGCACAGCAGAGTATTAGGCATGAGAGAATGCCATGTGAACTCTATTATTTTTGCTGATGATTTTAGTTATTTAATTTTTTGATTCCCAAAAGAATTACGATGCTCAAATACACTTTTGATGTCATTTAAGTCTTTAATATTAAGTATGTCTAGTTGATACAGTTGTAAACATTTTCCATTTGGCAGTGTCTATAATATTATCTTGTCTGTTTCAACTGTATTAGTAAAAAGAATCAGTAATGTATTAGAAGCATATAACAGTAGTCTAAAAACTACCAATATAAACTGATAACTATTATAAAAACAAATTATTACCATAAGATATTGTTTATAGCTTAAGATATGCATATTCCATATATTCATTTTTAACTAATATAGGACCATGAGCTGTTCACATTATGAAATTTTCTAAAATATTTATTTTACTTGAA